AGTTGAAGACTACTCCAGGATACCCATAGGACCTTTCCTGCCTCAGCTCCATTTCCAGATCACCTGGGAGAAGGGGGTGCAGAACAGGAATCAGGACACCACTCCTCTTCAGACTGCCAGCCTCACTGCTGCCCCTTAATACAGGCACCTCCAGACCCTACCCCTCCCCTATCCTGTACGGAAATACCAGAGTGGAACAGCAGTGTGGCTCTGGTTTCCCAGGCTATATTTAGGGGACACCCACACTCCCAGTTAGGTAGAGGGTGAAACTCGTGGCTCAGTGACTGAGTACTCTAAACATACAAAGGAGTAGGGTGATGAGAGTTCACGGTGGACTATAACCTTCAACTAAAGCCCAAGGTCAGCAACTCAAAGGAAAGGGGACTAAAAAAGTAGTCAGAGCAATGAACAACTGAGGAAAGGGACACTACAGCACAGGGACCTGAGTATCCAACCCAATCAATGCCTCCCTTTGTCCCAAGACTCAAGACTCCCTCCTGATTACATTCAACATTAGGGGCCAGGAGGGGCAGAGCACCAGGGCAGACCTGCAGAAGAAGGAGTTTACAGCTTGTGGGTGGGGTCACTTACTGGGCTCCTATTGGCTGGATTCAGTGGGATTAAGGGTCAGGGTTCTCACTCCTCCTGACTCTGGGGTCTGAGAAAACACAGTTACACGAGGTGAATGACATGGGAAACATACGCTGGGTCTTTTAGGGACAGGAAGCATCAGCCAAGACCCAGACTCCCAGGGTCACTAACCCTCCCCAATCTCTACCCCTGAGTCCAGAGAACGCGTCCTCTCTAGGCTTCAATCAATACAGGCTGGAGGGACCTGCAGGACAACACGGAGCTGGCTTCTGCCCAGGCTGGGGTGGGGGCTGGCGAGAAGGAAGTGCTGATGTGGAGGAGGAAAAAGCATATCTGTCAAAACCTCTGGATTCTAACCCTGGCTCTGCCACTACCAGTGTGACCTTGGCCCACTGGGTTACTACTCAAATCTCCTCCTGAAAACTAAAAGGGGGGAGTAGGGGACCCCCAAAATTTTTGACAGCTCTCGTTTAAGATGAGGGTTTCCCTCCACCATTTAAAAACAAAAAAGTCTCCAGCCTTCAGCCGGCCCTCTGTAAATCCTGTGAGTGGAGAAAGGGGAGGGTGGGGAAGGCGGTCCCATAATCTCCCAGCCTCCCCCGACGGCGAGCCAGGGCAAGCGCCAGCTGGGAAGGGATGAGTAGGATTTACGGCACTGGCCGGGCCCAGCACCCAGAGCCTGTCCCTACGCTGCCAGTCCGCGTGAGGATCGACACCTTTGGGCTGCAGGCGCCAAGCGTCGGGCACCGTGGACACAATCTCTCGCACACCCCAAACACGCCCGTCGGCTCGCAAAAGCCTCCGCCTTTGTGCGCAGCAGCCCCCTCCTTGCGGGGCCCCTTTCCCGGAGCCGCCAGCTTCAATAAATCGGGATCAAACCGCCCTCCGGCCCGGCGGGCGCCTTCCAGGCCCGGCGGCCCCTCGCCTGCCCCTCCCCCTACCTGCTGCCGCCGCGGTTGCTTCCACCTTCACTTGCCTTTGACTCGGGCCCGCCCCGGCTCGGACTCCCCGCAGACCCGCCCCCGGCCCGCCCCGGCCCGCCCTCGGGCCGACAGCTCCCAGCAGATCCGCCCCAGACCCCCAGTAAACACACCCCCCTTTACCCCGCCCCAGACTGTCCTCGGCTCAGGGAGGGGCTGTGCTGGGGCAGAATGGAGTGCGAGGAAAGCAAACTGGGGGATGCTTCCAGGCTCCACTTGCGCTCCACACAACATCCCCCGCAAGGAGCGGTGTGGGGCGTGCGTGGGGACCCCTTAACCCCGCAAGGGATCCCTACGCCCGCTCTCGACACCGCCTCTATCCATGGCCTGTATCTGCCTGTGGTACTCTAGCCCCCTTCGCCCCTAGACTCAGTTATGGGTTGGGTGGAGGGAGACCTACAAGGTACTGGCACCCCAAATTTTCAACTGCCGCCCCCTGGAAACAGAGAGCTAGGTTAAGGAAGGAGGAGGAGGGCGAAGCCGGCCGCTGAAGAGGATGGGGTCTCGCGGGCTGGGAGGGGTCGATGTGCCAGCTCCGAGCAGGGTTGGGGGCGTCGAGGACGCAGGAATTTCGACTCCCGGGTGCCCAGGGTCCTAGTACCTCCTTTCTTTGCTGCGTCCGACGCCTGCTCTCCGGCTGCTCTGTGAGAAGTTGGACAACAAGGAGCGGGGGCGGGGAATGCTGGGGGCCGCTATAAATAGAGGGTGTTCGCTGGAGGGGAGAGAGGATGGCCAACAGGGACTCCCGGGTCAAGGCCCCAACGAGGGAGGGCGTTGCTGAAGGAGGGGCCGGGGACCCCCAAGGGCTCTGACTCCTGGGTAAACAGGGGCGGAGGTGGAGTTAACCCTGCGGGGGTGGAGTGGGGGCTTGGGGAGGACGCAGTGTCCCGGGCTGGGACCCAAGAGACCCTGTGGCTAACCACTCCCAGTCCGGCCCAGGAAAGGAGGGCGAGACCGGCTCAGACTGGCTGAACGCAATCCCTACAAGATGGTGTCTGAGGGACTGCCGTGACTCTCCGTGCTTGGGTGGGTTTGTCACTCTATACTTCCACACACATACACACCATAGATGGACCCTCCCTGTGCCCCTCAGAGGAATGTCGCCTGGAATGGGATAGTTGATGTGGCCAATGTTGTCTTATGCAAAAGGAAAACAGATTGAATTTATCCCCACCTGCCCCCCCCTTCTATCTACCCTCCCTCCTAGGATCATCCCCACCCCATCCCCCTTCAGCCTGGTTCCTGAGCTGCCATTTCGGGGGCTGGGCACCAAGCCAGTTGGAAACAATGGCCAATGGAACCCGAGCTGCCAACTGCAACACCAGCATAGACTGCCCCCCCCGACCCCCCCACTGCCTTCCCCCTCCTGCTTGGGAACCACCCTCCCACCACTTCCCTCACCACTGGCAACCCCCTCCCATCCAAGGAACATCAATGCCCCTTTCATCCCCACTTGGCAGGTCTATTGGAAAGAAGGAGATGCCAAGAGGGAGGAGGGGACCCAGAGTAAGAGAACTGGTTGGGCTCAAACCCAGGCTTCAAAACCCCCATATCCAGGGGGCTCCTATGTTCCTGGATTTGGAGACCCTAGGTTTCCTGTTTCTTTCTCCCATTCCCTTCATAACTCTTTCTGTAGAAACTGGCACAAAAGCTTGGCACCATGGCTCCCTGCCTAGCCCCCTCAAGTCTCTGGATGCTGTTTAAACACTACCCTAGACACGGAAGAGTCTGCTAAAATTAGGGTCATAGCTTCAGAGGCATAGAACAGAAGACAAAGATCTCAGCTGCAATGATGGAACTTCAGTAGAAAGAGAACTTAGAGCAAGAATTTTGCCTGCAATTTTCTTTGATTTATCTAAAGTCAGCTTACTTGGAGTGGGGGAGGGAGAGACCTGAAGGTTCCAGCATCTAAATTCGTCTCTGGGTCAGGATGACTCAGGGGGAACCTGATAAGGGGCCTAGGCAGGGGCTTGGGCCAGGCAGGAGGTGGGAAATTTCCACTGAGATCTATTTGCTTCCCATGCCTAGGGGTCCCATTCAGCCTGCTGCAGGCAGAAGGAAGAGCTTTCAGAGGGTTCTTTCCTATTTGGACTGCTCAGAGACAGATCTGGGGGTAATTGTCCCAACAAAGACAGTACATTCTATATATTCAACTATACATTCAACTAAGCAACAGTTTTTAAGCACCTGCTATATGCAGTTACCGCATACATGGAATTCGAAGAAGTGTGAAGTCTGGTCACACCCTCACTAGAAATTTGATCCAGTGGTCAGCAGATGGTATAAACACGAAAAAGTTTAGGAAAAAGTATGTATATATATAAGATCAACCTTTTGGAGAATAGGTACTAGAGAATAGTTTTCCACTCTTTTAAGTAGATTAGAGACAATATTCTTGTCTATTACACACCAAGACCCCCACTCTTTCCCTGTTGGGTCCAACACCCGGAGCCCTTTGAAATTGAGTTTGAGGTTGATTGGCCAAAGCTGGTGGGATTCTCCATGCTTGTTACTACACAAACTAGACAGAAGCACAGAGTGGACTGGAGTCAACCTGTTTTCATTTATCACTATTATCTGAATGTTTATGAACCCCCAAAATTCATATTTTAAAATTCTAAATCCTAAAGTGATAAATTAGGAGGTGGGACCTTCAGGTATCATGATTAAGTTTCATAAGGGCAGAGTCCTAATAAACAAGGGAGCTGTTTTCTCCTTCACCCCATGGTGTGAGGACACAGTAAGAAGGCATCATCTATGAACAAGAAAGCAGCCCTCACCAGACACTAAATCTGCTGATGCCTTGATCTTAGACTTTCTGGCTTCCAGAAATAAATTTCTGTTATTTATATGACGACTAGATTATATTTGGTTATAACTGTGAGAACAAGCTAAGACACCTCCTCTGGGCTCTCCTCAGCCCTTTATTGTGGGGCAGAGCACCAGGCACTTTGATCAGGACCCAGAACTAGGCTGAAATGATGAAAATCTGAACAAGCCAGAAGGTTGGCAATTTGCTCAATTCAGCGTGCAAGGTAAAGAGACCAAAAGCCCTTCTCCTAAGACAGGGGTACAGCTGGAACCAGCAGTGATGTCACATAACCACTGAGATCACAGAAGCTTTCCTCCACGCCCCTTCCTGTCTCCTGGTTGCCACAGTCTCCCTAGCCCATTGACTCCCACATATCTGCACACACTTGCTTAAAAGGGTAGGAAGGGTCAGTGTACCATCCAGGCACTTTCAGGTACCCAAAAGTGGTGGGAAAGGGGAATGTTCGGTGTGGAGTATCCCAAGTGCTGAGAAGGATAGACTCCTGCTGTTGCTGTAGCAGATGGAATGGAGAGGGGATGAAAAGAGAGGAGAAGGAAAGAGGGGAATTATTCCTGTGTCTGGTGTATATTAACCCCCATCCTCATTTTTCTTAAGTCCTCCCTTCCCCTCTTCCCTTACCCCCAAGGTTCCCCCTACTGCCCTCCCCCACCTTCAGCTGCTCATGGCATCAGAAGCAGAGAAAACGTTCCAGCGATTTGCTGTCTTCGGAGAATCATCAAGCAGTGGCACTGAAATGAACAACAAAAATTTCTCTAAACTGTGCAAAGACTGTGGCATCATGGATGGCAAGGAAGTCACCTCCACTGATGTGGACATCGTGTTCAGTAAAGTGAAGTAAGAAGACAAAGGTGGGGGTTGGGGCATAGCCAGAGCAAGGCAGTTGGCCATGAGGTGTTGGTGTGGACCAGCATTGGTACTGGGCTTACCAAGCAGCCTGTGAGGTTGGGGAGGGGACCTGCCCAGGCTGTTCTCTGCCCTCAAGACATTTAGTGATAGATGGGACAAAAGAGGCCAAGTCTGAGTAAGGGAAAGGTAATGAGTTCATATTCAAAGTCCCTGGATTTCTGTCTGACTCACCAGGGCCAAGAATGCCCGAACCATCACATTTTCAGAGTTTCAAGAGGCAATGAAGGAGCTGGGCCAGAAGCGGTTCAAGGGGAAGAACCCAGATGAAGCCCTGCAGGCTGTTTTTAAACTCATGGAAGGCAAGGACCCTGCCACCACTGGAGTTACTGTGAGTGATGTTCTTCATCCCTAGCCCTTTATTCTACTTCCCTAAATCCCTACTGCTGCAGTCTCCCCTCCCATTCATTAATGTCCTGAATCCAGTGCAACTATAGGAAACAGAGCATTAAGTCTGTGGTGCACTGTTGGTACTGGCATAGACTTTACAGACCATGTAATCATTCCAGAGGTGACCCAGAGAAGGGAAATAACTTGCCCAAGGTACATGGCAATTGGGGGTTGAAGCTGAGCCACACCCCTAGCTGCAATATAGCTATTTTAATAGTAGAATTTAGAATCATTCCCAAGTCTCCAGGATCTGAGCCAGGCATCTAGGGCTTTGGGGGGACATTAACATAGAGGGTTTGGAACTTGATCCTCAGTCCTCCTCCTATTCTTATTTAAGATTTAATCTGAGATCCCTTGCCAGGTTTGGTGGAATATGCCTGTAATCCCAGTCACTAGGGAGATTCAGGCAAGATTACAAATTCAAGGCCAGCCTCAGGAATTTAGCAAGACCTTCAGAAATTTAAAGAGACCCTATCTCAAAAAAATAAAAAGGACTGGGGGATATAGTTCAGTTGTAAAGTGCTCCTGGGTTCAATCCCTAGTACCAAAAAAAAAAAAAAAGAGAGGGAGAGAGAGAAAGAGAGACCTCTTACCTGTCACCCACCATTTTACTTAATTGTACCCTCTATATGAAAAGCTATTTCTACTCTGTCCATTGGGTCAGAGGCTGAAGTTCTTTGGCAGCAGTCTGGTCAGAAAAACTCCACTGGAAACAGAAGCATCCACCCCCCCCCCTCCTCACAGACCACACGCACTCTTATACGAGATTCCTCCTGCCTCAGGAGTAGATGGCTCTTGCCAGAGGTCCTGCCCACAGCTGCTTCTGGGCCATGAGGAAGCAGTACTGTGCCAGAGGCATAGAAAGAGCTGTGCACTCTTGTTCTGAGGATCTAAAGCCATCTTTGGGGAAGGGCTGTGACAGTGCAGGGGAAGGAAGAGGGCTCAAACCCCTCCTCTGGCTTGCAGAAGGCAACAACAGTAGGTGGAGTAGATCGTCTGACAGACACCAGCAAGTACACCGGTACCCACAAGGAGCGCTTTGATGAAAGTGGCAAGGGCAAGGGGATTGCAGGACGGGAAGAAGTGACTGACAACACTGGCTATGTGAGTGGCTACAAGGGTGCTGGCACCTATGATAAGAAGAAGTAGAGAAGAGCCTCATCTTAGCCTGCCCTGACCCTTCATCTTTAACACCAGGGAGCTTGAGAAGCAATAAACATCTGTGTGTGCAGCAGCAAATAAGCTCAGTCTAATGAGGGTGAGGGACTAATTGTTGCACTGGTGGAGAGGGGGAATAGAGAGAGCCCAAGGAGTCAGGGTATAGCCATATGTCCTTTTACCCTGTCTAGTTTCATGACTATCAGCTGTAAGTTAGCACTCCCCTCAATTTCTAACAACAGGATGAGGAATATACTTGGAGATAAAAGATGAGCAAGATGTGGAAGCATAAGTATTTATGTGTTCACATATCACTAGTATCCATCCCTTCTATCTCCCAAGGGGAATAGCATTTTCTTATTTGACATAATGTGACCTAGCTGACAATTATAGGAGCCCCCCCCCCCTTTTTTTTTTGGTACCGGGGATTGAACTCAGAGGTGCTTAACCACTGAGCCTAGCCTCATCCCCAGCCCTTTTTATATTTTATATTTTAGAGACAGGGTCTCGCTGCTTAGGGCCTTGCTATGTTGCTGAGGCTGGCTTTGAACTCAGGATCCTCCTGCCTCAGCCTATTAAGCCCCTGTGCCAGCTAATTATTTGATCCTTTCTTATCCCTCTAACCTTCCACATATAATGCAATCCAGGTTTTGTTGGGAGATAAATAGAAACCAGGTAAGGCAGCCTGACTCCTATTACAAATTTGTTCCAGAGCTGGGGGAAAGGAGAATCCATTTTCAACACCCAGGTTAGAAGTGAGTTTTACCCACCCCAACTCCATCATGGTACCCATGGAACGGAAGACTTCTGTGTGTATTAGGGGCTGGGAGGTTCTAGGGATCAAACCCAGGACCTTGCACATACTGAGCAAATATACTCTGCTACTGAACTACATCTTTTGATTTCTATGGGTAGCTGGGCAAGATGGCCAGAGATGGGTGGTCACTAGGTCTTGGAGAGCAAGAAAAAAAGAATTAAATCAGGACTGATTCAGATGCGTTTTTTAACTTTTTATTTTGAAATGATTACAGATCCACAAGAAGTTGCAAAAATTGGTATAATGAGGTCTTACGTACCCTACACCCAGTTTTCCCCAATGATTCTATCTTAACTCAGAATGTGGTTTTAAAACTTTACATGGCCAGAACCAGGCCCACCTCATCCACTTCATGCTTTATTAGCAGCAGACCCTGGAGTTTGGACAATGTTGGGAGCTACTGAAAATAAAGGAATGGATGAGAGAAGATAACTTGAAATCCCAGTGGCCCTAGATGAGAAGGAAGGCAGGTTGACAGCAGTGGGAGTGCTGGGAGAGATAGCTCCGGACTCATGAGGAGGAGAAAGGAAAGGGCAGGTTATATAAAGGGAAATATCAATGATTTCCAAGAGGTGCAGAACAGAGACTGAGGAGGATTGTAGGGAAATGAGGCTAAAGTGAGTCTAAAGGTCTCAGGGAGGTTCCTATAGCTAGAGATACCCACCAGGTAGGTTTGGAAGGGAAGAAATTGTCAATTTTAAGTTCTCTTGTAGAGGCCAAGGATACCTATCGGTTGGCCTTCATACTTGCTGGAGCAGAGCAGGTAGAGCTTTCGGTTGGTTTCAGTGCTTGAGTAGCGGCAGCTGGTGGGTGGCTGTCTCTTGTTCACTCTGCAGATTGTGATGGGGAAGGGCTTCGTGGTGAGTGTGCAGTATTCATTGTAGTTCTCACAGAAGCTCTCACTATTCTTGCAGGACTTCCAGATGGTTTTCCAGGGGGTGTGCAACACGTAATGTGTCTTAGGGCAATACCATTGTTCCTTTCTGCCCCGCACGTAGGACATAAAACCATTACAGTAGCCCTTGAAATCATCCGGGAATTTCACCTTGGGATAGTCCATGTTTAAGGTGCGGAAGTTCTGGACAGCAATCTCCAGCTGGACAGCCATGACCAGAGTGGGCCCTAGAACAAGCTGGAGGAAGAGAAGCTGGGCCACAGCTGGTGCCATTCCTCCTGCTGGCAGAGTTAAGGTGGTTGGAAGTAGGGTGGGCCTACAGTGTCTGTATGCCCCTTCCCAGAGCCTCCAGTATTACTCAACCTTCCCCATATGCCTTCCCTGCTCTTTTAAAGGTGGCCGTTCAGCCCAAGTCCTCATGACCCAGAGAGGGGAGGCATTTGCCCAAGTCCACCCAGGTAATCTGCCATCTCCACCATCCCTCCCTTGGTCCACCACCAGGTCTCAGTCTCACCCAGTCTGTGAGCTGCAACACTTGTAGAATGAGCTTCAGCCAGCTTGTGAGAAATGCTCCCAGTGGTCCCTGGCCCAACACCCTTTGCTAAAAAATGCAGAGCACTAAGAGGAACAAACTGGGCTGATGAGTCTAACAGTTCTGGAGGAAGAACAGGAACTGAAGACAGCTGGGCGGGGCAGGGATGCTTCTTGCCTGAGGCCAAGAACAAGCTAGAGGTAAGATGAGGCTAATAAAAAGTCTCTAGGTAAAGACCAACCTGGAAAGAATGAGTGGGCCCTGAATTTGGGGACCCCCTGTGCTGAGGGGGTTGGATGGGTGGGAGGAAAGAAACATTGCTCTCTGATCGTCTCTTCATTGGTGTCCTCAGAACACTTAGTTCCAGCCTCCTTGCCAGAAGTTTCAAAGTTCCTGGGCTTGCTTTGATGTTTGCTCAGGCTCATCAGCCCTGCTCTCTCAGCAAGGTGAAAAGGAAAGCACCATCATGTTTCTGAGAAATAAAGTGCTTCTTATTCCTGACCCTCAGAAAACGGAGGGTCCAGCACTCCCTAGTCCCGCTCACAGGAGCCCCCAAGGCCATGTGCACAGGCACCTCCCACCAAAATGCCAGGCTGAGAATCAAGGACTACCTCAAGGACTCCCCACAGTCCCTGTCATCAACCAATGCCCCTAATGTGTGATTCAGGCCCCATCAGAGCACTCCTGGAAATCTATGCACGATGACTCTAAAACCCAAAACTTGACAGATTGTTTCTAACAGTATAACCTGGACTTAAAAGGTTGTGGACCCACTGAGCCTGGTCTGATCAGATTCTCACTCTCGGTTGATCTTTGGGAGGTTTGTTGTGCTGGAGAAAGGGCCAGGTTTCCTATTTCTCTTTTTACCAAATATCTGCCCCTTCATCAAAAAGCAAGCTTCCCGGAGCCTGCCAACCCTCGACCTTGATTTCCACAGGCCCCTCAGCCTTGTGTCTATGCAGGGTGTTGTCAACATTCTGAGATTTCTCTTAGAAATGAAAGTGAAAATCTTTTCACTTTCACCAGCAGGAGAGGGAGTCAGAAGGCTGAACACTGAGTACTCTGAGGCCCACTCTGCAGCCTAGGGGGGGACAAAGGGAGACCAAAGAAAGAAGTTGCTGTTCTCTCTATGGCCCCTTATCCACGGCTTCCCAGACTTACCCTTCCTATTGCACAAACTCGAGTCCAAAATAAGTTCATCCTTCTCACAACTCACTTCTGTGTTTACCTCAGTTTCCCCAGTTACCTGTGCAAGAAACCTGAGAGTGATCCCAGGCTTATCTGTCTCCCTAACCCACCTACTGGGGGGTCAGGACTGTGTGATGGCTAAGATCAAGGCTTTTGAGTAAAACAGACCAGGAACTGAATTCTGGCTCTGCAGATTACAGACTGTGAGCCACCAATCCAAGCTTACTCAATCACCATGCACTTCCAGGTCTTGAGGATACCATGTTATACCTCATGGCAGCATTCATATTCATTAAAATGTATATCAAGAGCTTTCAGGTCAGTGTCTGACACCTGGTGAATACTCATAGTGTGAGCGCGAATCCATCAGTTATGCAGCCCTCACAATCTTAACCTCCCCCCATATTTGCCCCCCTCCCCCATTCCTATTTTTTCCTCTGTTCAGGCTCTCTCCTCTCCTGGATACCACACAAAAGAGGCTCAATTCAAATGTATTTTTCATACAACTGTCAGAGTAAAAATGTAGTCTCCTCTTTTGTCTGACACACTGCAACGGCTCCCTCCTACCTCCCAGGCCTTGCTTGTGCTTCTCAACCCCAAATGTTGCCCCTGCTCCCCGTCTTTGAGAGCTAGGTCATACCAACACTCAGCCCTGAGGTCTCATTTCAGAAGTCTCTGCTTGGTTATGAAGGAAATGCCCTGATTCTTCTTAATTTATTTTGGCAGTACTGTGGATTGAACCCAAGGCTAGTTAAATGCTCTACACTGAACTATATCTCCAGCCAGAAGTCTGTGCTTGGAAGACCTCCCCTATTGTGCACATCCAAGAAAGTGAGGATAAAGCCCACCAAAACAGGTGGCTCATCTGGATCCTTCAGGCCACTCAAGACTACACTGAATGGGAGCCAATGAACTGTGGTTCCTGAGCCTGGCTTTGAAGAAGCCGACCAGAAAGGCTGTGATCTCAACCTTGAATCATGCTACCTCTTCCCTAGTCCCTCATGGCTGCAGCTTCCCTGAGAAGAGACAGGGCTTTTTATGCCTCTTGGACTTCTCTCCCTTCATTCCCTACCCACCATTACCACTCTTACTCCTCCCCACACCTCCGCTCACCTGTGCACGCAGGACTGCAGAACTGCAGAACTGAGCAGCATGTTCAGTTCAGGACTTCATGGTTGATGACCAACCCACAGAGTTTGTTTCCTCTTCTGGGAGGTGGGATACCTTTTTCACCTCAGAAGGCTGCAAGAATAAAATCAGCAAACATGAAAGGGCTTTTAAATCATTAAACAATACATAAATGGAAAACCAGAATACAGCTCTCCAAAGTTTACACACGAAGTCACTTTCCACATTTGCAAAGTCTTGTTTATTCCCTAAACAAGCACTCCCACCATCCCCAACCCCTGATCTGCTCACATAGAACCCCTTCCAAGTCCTATCTTAGAACTCATCTCCATGAAGTTTTTGATAATTACTTTGAGACAATTTTTTTTAAATAATCAAATGCCTGAAAGCACTTTGACAAATATTGTGGACTTATCTATAATTCAGTGGGAAAGGCACACATAAAAACACATGTTACAAAAGCATGTGCTCAGGGCCAGAGGAGTCCTGGCTGGAGACAGAACAATGGACCTTCCGATTCCCAACTGTGGTTTCTGGTGTTCTGGTCTCTAAAATTCTATCCTAAGCTGGATGCCATGATGCATGCCTGTAATTTCATGAGAACTAAGAGGTTGAGGCAGGAGGATCACAGGTTTGAGGTCAGCCTCAGAAATATAGCAAGATCCTCATCTGAGTTTAGTGAGACCCTGTCTCAAAATTAAAGTCCTGAGAATATAGCTCAATGGTCAAGTGCCCCTGGGTTCAATCCCCAGTATAATAAATTAACTTCTATCCTGGAAGTATGAATCCACACTATTACTTCACCCATTCTGACATCCTTCTCATGGTTTTATGTTCCCTAAGCCTGGGATTTTTGGGATTGTTACTCCATTACACTGGATTTTACATATAAAGAATTATCCTAAAGATGAAGAAACTAAGTTCTAGATAGTAGAACTTAGATATATGACTGTTCAAGATCACATTCTAATTCACTGATTCCCAACCAGGGCAATTTGGTAGTCTGGAGATACTTTTGTTTGTCCTAACTGGGAGTTGCTACTGGAATGAGGCCAGGGATATTGCTAAACACCCCACATTGCACAGGAAAGCTCCCACAACAAAGAATTGTCCAGACCAATATGTAAATGATGCTGAGATTGAGAAGTTCTTATCTAGTTAATGGCATAATCAAATTTCCTAACAAGAGCAGACTTAATTGTACCTTGTATATTTAAAAGAGTTGATTAAGCCAGACACAGTGGTACATTCCTATAATCCCAGCAACTCAGAAGACTAAGGCAGAGGAGAATCTCAAGTTTGTTGTTGTTGCTGTTTGTGGTGCTGGGGATCGAACCTGGGGCCTTGTGTAAGTGAGGCAAGCACTCCACCAACTGAACTATATCCCCAACCCAGAAGAATCTTAAGTTTGAAACCAGTCTTGGCAACTTAGCAAGACAACTGTCTCAAAAAATAAAAAGGACTGGGGGTGTAGCTCAGTGGTAGAGCCCCCCTTGGTTCAATCCTCAGCAATAAAAAAATAAAAAATTTTTAAAAATTGGTAAACATCTGGAATTTACAATTACTTTTATTAAACCCATTTTGATTGTAACAGTGCTAATTCTTCTATCAGCAAAAGTACTGATGGTCAGCCAGGTGCTGTGGTACACAACTATAATACCAGTGGCTTGAGAGGCTGTGCTGGCAGATCTCAAATTCAAAGCCAACCTCAGCAACTTAGTAAGGCCCTAAGCATTTCAGTGAGACTCTGTCTCTGCATAAACCATAAAAAAGGGCTGGGGATGTGGCTCAGTGGTTAAGTGCACCTGGGTTCAATCCCCAGTGCCACACACACACACACACACACACACACACACACAAAGTACTGACAGTTCACCCTGGAAATGATATAACCTTGAGTTATTTTTACGGTAAAGATGACCCTCTGATGTAGTCATCTACACCCTCTTCTCCCCTCTTCAATGGTAAACCTTTGTAGAACAACAGGCTAGGGGTGTTTCCCTGTGATTGAGGAGATCCCTGAGATTTCACCCTGACTAGGCTCACCATGATTTCAATGGCATTACTTTTCACCCTGTCCAACTCAAGTTGCTCAAAGTCCTTGAACCCAAAAGGTTGCTTCATCCATCTCAACCTTTTTGTTCAATTCCAGAGGCTGAAATTCAGGAACTGCATTATCAGTTCACCAATCTATGCACCAACTCTGGGGCCTGGTGGTGATCCCACCCAGGACTGGTATCATTCTGGAAAAGTAGATGCCTTCTAACCTAGAAGTTGAATCAGTTAGGGTCACTTTCAGGCAGGGTATTCCAGTACATCCTGTGGAAGAGCAAAAGAGGTATAACAGGTGGTTCTAGTCTTTTGGGAATCAACGATCTAAGTTGGAGGAAAACAATAAATACATATGAAGAAATAACCAAAGATT